AGGTTTTTCCTGGTTCAGTCCCTCCTGAAGGCATTCACAGCCAGAAAGATCTCTGGTAAGGGTTTCCTGCTGCTCAGTAGACAGTTGCCAGTCAATCCTCTGACAATCTTAAGCTTGTGTCTTTTGTGAACTGTGGAAGCAGTGGCTGTACTTGCCAGCTCACTGCAAACTTGAATTGGAGTTGGGTTAAAGCCCGTGCCTCAGAAATGCTTACAATCACAGTATCTTTACTCAAGAATTGAAGCAAGGCAATCTGCTGGGCTCTGTGGGCCTCGCGGCCATTGCATCTTCGCCGTGAACATCATCAGTACCAGAAGGCATGAGTGGCTGCAGTATTAACCTGCACCTTCTGCAGTTCAGCTTAGTATTCCCAAGACTTGTAACTTTGTCTGATCTCCCCTCCTGCCAGCTCAGTACTATTGCATATGTGATAATAGTGTTAAGTTTACAGTCTTATTCTCTTGAAGCCAGTGCACACTCAATCTCCAACTACAGTACGCATGGAGCCACATGAAAGACACTAAGCTTGTGAAAAAGCCCATGTAATCAAGCCTGAAAAACACTGCCTGAGGCATGGCCTCAGTTACATTAATCAAGCAGGTAACAGAGAGCTCTATGTAACTGTGAAACTCAGGCTCAATCACTCCAAAGTGGTAATCAGTAACATGAACTAAGCTTCCACCAAAGACTGTCATTTTGGAGAGGTGGGTTTTTTCTTTGTTTGTTTCTCATCACATTAAATCAAAGCCTCATTAAGATACCTGAAGACTCCAAAGCATTTTTACCATCAGCGTTTTGATAGTGTGACCTTGTTTCACTGCTGAAATACATTCCTGAATTAGGATCAGCTGTGATGGTGATTCTAATAAATGATGGCCTTTAATATTTGTTATGTGTGTGCAGAAAATACTCTACCTTGATGCTAAATCTAGATTTGTTGACCATGAAGATGGGTAAATTGCTGATCACCCCCCTCCCCCCAAAGGGGGGATTAATTTTTTTCTGCAGATTTAGTGGGGGGGGGGGTAAACATTTTTCATGAGTCCAGCTTGTTCTGGGTGAGGAATTCTGATCAGAAAAAAACCACTAGATACGGTTGCTGAATCCTCTACACATGAACTGAGAGTGTGAAAAAATCATAGTGTCTCATTCTCCAAGACAGCTGAGATTCTTTTATTCTGCAGGAAGCCTGAGTTGGACTTAACTATGCATGGTAAGACCAGTGCTTCACTCAAACCCCTTTCACTAGGGTTCATTCTTCATGGTGTTGGAAATACCTCCGACTCATAGGTGAATGGGGTAATTTTGTTGCACTCCAGATGTGCTCCATCTATGTTCCTGACTAGTCTCTATGAAGAAATGTTTAAGTTGTAAACTTATGTACATTTATTAAAACCATATCTGATTAAAGTACAACCTCCTTGCTTTGTGTTATTTCTTCTTGGTACAAAACTGTTCATTTGGGTGGAGGGAAAGCATTTTGTTGTAAACTCCCTCCCATCGTGCTGTTGGTAAGGTTTGACGTTCTGTACACTTGAGCCTTTATACACCTGGTCCAGGAATGGGGATGAGGTGCCGCTTTAATGAGAGCGGCTCCAAGAGCCGCTCTTATTAAAGCACCTGCAGCATCACATGCATCAGCGTCCCCCCACTGAAAAATGGCGGCAGGGGTGAGCTTGTTGAGTGAGGTTTAGTTAAAACGTCCCAACCAACATTTTTCAACACAGAGATGCTGTGCACGTGACCCTGGAGTCTGCTGGGGCATGGTAATTGCCATGCTCCAGCAGACTCAGTTACTCAAGTCTGCTTCAACATGCTGTAATTACAGCATGCTGGAGCAGCCTTGCTGCATATGTATAGGCACCTGTAGTGCTTGGGTCCTAGGGTACCTCAGACACCCAAAGGAAGGGGTACTAGCATTTTGGTTTTTGGACCAGGAAAGTCAAGCTGCTGCTCTGAGCAGGAATAGAAGATGGATAGCTCCAGTTATATTGGAGGGATCTTGCTTGACCAAGGTAGATGTGCTTAAACACAGACGTTGCAGTTTTCTACTTGTATACAGCAGTGCAGCATAACCAGAACCCTGAACCTGTCCCTGCAAAAGCTCAGAGGTTATTAAACTCTTCTTCTTATGCAGATAGATCTTTACAATCTTTATTGGCCCCTACGTGGCAGTGTGGATATGTTTACATGGCTAGTTTGGTATACTGGCTATAGATTGATGTATGCATATGCACTATGAAACACAGGGGTATAGAACAGCAGATTTATAACCAAAAGTCACCAAAACCTTGGCAAAGATGCCAATGGGACGGATAAAGGGAACTTTCATGGCAATGGAATGGAAGTCTGTTCAGAAAAATGCCCCTTTACCTTTCTGTGGAGGATTTGCTGCTTGCTGATGAAGGGTCTATTAGCAGAAGCAACAGATGTGACCAGCCTAGTAGCAGCCACTGCCCACTTCAAACTGGGGAGAGATGCAGTATTGCTGGAAGAGAGATCATGTTAACAGCAGTGCACTTATAAATGCATAGGCGATACCTATTATTGCAGTCAGATGAATGAGGATGAATTTTATTTCCTTCCCTCCCATTCCTCATAGTGGTGCAAATGTGTTCAGCACGGCCCCAGAGCTGAAATTTATACAACTAAGAACTTCTGCTTTACATTTACAATCACTAAATAAACCAGTTAAGTCTGTAAACTCTTAACAAGCGCAGTAGATGTCTGGAAGTGTACTCTGAGAAATGTCAGATTCCCCAAATGCTTCAGGTAGTCTTAAGTCAAGCCCAGTCAAAATAGCATAGCATGTCTCCGCTGCTTTGCTATCTGCAATGGACCAAGAGAGTCCAACGTGCAAAGTGCTGAATGTCTGCAAGAAGTTTTAACCCAGTTTTGGTATCTCAGTGGGGTTGATGGAAATAGGGGTGGGGGTTATCCCTTGTGTCAAAGGATGTTGCCCCAAACTCTTCTCCATGTAGGAATTCACTGAAAACTGGAGGCAGATATTTCCCCTTTGGTTTCATCCTAAGGATCATAGCAGGGATCTTCCCAGATAACAGGGATTTGCAACCGTGAATGCAGAGGCTACATGTGATCCCCTACTGCCCAACTTGAAGGGCAGCTTAATTGTTTCATGCTTCTCTTAAATGGCTGGAGGCCGTACATGCCAATATTAACATGCCACCCCAACAAGCCACGTTCTCACTGAGTTGCACTGAACTTAGTTTTCCTGTGATGACCAATTGGAAGCATCTGGCAACAGAAGTAGTGAGTGCTTGTGGAAGGAAACACTGCTTGTCACTGATGCAGATCTGCCATTTAAGTCGGTTCTGTCGGAGCGTCTTGGATTCTGTCTTCAGTACAGTGGTCACGGCCACGTAAAGAAATTTAAATGGCTCAAAGTTGAGGCGTAACCTCTGAACGTGTTTGGAGGGAACATCCCTGCATTCCTGGCGTTACGGCCAGAAAAGAAAGGTAATCATGAATCAGGATGTCATGACCTTAAATGCTGGAGGCTGCAAGTGAGGGAGGAGCAGTGGAAACAGCTGTGGTCACGCCGCGTTCGTTCTTCTCTCCAGCAACGGGCAGCCAGCCATACGGAGTGACCTGGCATGTGGCTGTTCTCCTGTTCTCAGGGGAAAAACGGGTTATGAAATTCAGCAGGTGACACGGCACTGAGTCCAAGGTTCGGGTGGCCAGCTCCCTTTGAATCTATTCTGGGGTTTCCAGACTGCCAGCGTGCCCACGACAACACGGATGTGACCATGGACTTGTGTATGTCTGTTACGGATTATGGAGCAGAGACTTTACGGCAGGAAGGCAAATGCCCGTGACACTGTAAAAAGCCACTGGGCTAGTGTACAAATCAGATTCAACATTCAATGCTGATTTTAATGAACGCCCTATAATGTCTCCTCTGAGTGACTCTCAGCATCTGCTGGAGGTTGTATCCAGAGCAGTTCCGGAGGTTGGCAGGCCTAGGCCGCAGGCCCTGTCCCGGGCAGGCGCTGGCTCGCAGACCCAGGGCAGGACGGCGCCTGGCGCGGTGGCGCGCGGCGCCAAGGACGAGGTGGCGGGGTAGTGCAGTAAGGGGCGGCTGCAGCGGTTGCCAGGCAGGCGGGTGAGGGGCAGGGCGTGTGCCCCCAACCAGGGCTCGCCCGAGCCCGGCTCCCCCCGTCCTGCAGGCCTGGAGCCACTGGGGCGGCCCAGTCCCAGGCGCTGCGGCAGTTCCCGCCGCCGCCAGCAGGGGGAGCGCGCTTTTCAGCCAGGCGCCGCCGGGCAGCCCGCGCGGGGTCCTCGTGCGCCGGCCCCCCCCCGCAGCG